CAGTGAAACTAAGTATCTTGATGTTGGAACAAAATCATGGAAACCGTTGCCTTTCTCTATGGCAAAATTGAATGATGTAACTGAATGCATCGGTGCTGAAGTTGTCAGTAATAACTTGTATGTTGCTGCAAAAGGTGATAATTCTGTTGATATGTATTGCTATAACAGGATTAGAAATGTATGGGAGACACTTCCTTGTTGTCAGTGCAATTTCGTGCTAAGTGAAGTAATATGTATGTGTTCTTTCAATGAATATATATATGTATTTAGTGACGGCTCAGAACCGACTCAGAGATATAGTTTAAGTCAGAATTTTTGGCAAAGTGCTTCCGAATTGCCTTTCTTTAAGAAACTACATCATAGTGAAAATTTATTTTCTGTGACAGCAGTGAGCCTTAAATCCAAAATATATGTACTTCATGGATATTACAGTGAGGAATACCTCTTTGGCGAGGATGAGATAAGTGAAAAGCCGGCCGTGGTTCACTGTTTTGACCCACAGAAAAATGAATGGGAAAAGATGGCTTCAACTTTGTCTCCTCACTTTGAATCCAGCCTTTTTGTAGATAATAACAAGCTTTATGTGGGCGGTGGAAGTGTTTCTGTTTCTAAAGATTTTGTCTCCGGGCGTATGTGTGCTTCAGGTGAAACAGCCCCTGTCGAAGTTTATGATGAGGAAAATAACTCGTGGTGCGTTGTTCAACAGAACCACATTCCTTCAAACGACCTTAATGCAGTAGAACTGATAGGAGGAAAGGTCTATTTCATCATCAACAAATTTCCAATTGACAGTGGAATTAGAATTCCACCAAATGAAGTGTACAAAATTTCTTTACAAGAGTGGGAACATTTGACAACCATCCATGAAGCTGCTGTCTTGTGCTATTTACCAGTAAACAAAGAGATGTTAAACACGTTGAAGGCTGCAGCGAAATCCCCTCTTGAAACCGTAAACTAATTTAGTCATTTCTTTGAGTGTGGTTTTTTTTTTAAGTTTAGCAAATGTCCTTCTAAATTAGTCAGGCTAAGAGAGGATGCAGATCGCCAATCATAAAAAGAGATCGGAAGAAGTCCGTGATTGACACAAAATTTGTTCTCTTGATAGAAGACGCGTTTTCTGTTTTATATTGGCCTGAACAGTCCAGTCAATTTTTCATGATTGCAAAACCTAACTATGTTAATAAACTTATTTACCCGTTACACAATTTTTTCCTTGCTGATACGATTAGTTGAATGCGTAATGAAACTGATTTGAGCTTAGTGAGAGTAGTGTAGGAGCTGCTGGTAAGGTCTCTCCTAACCGGTCGAACGAAACAATGACATGTCATTCTTTCAATTGTTTTAATATTGTTTGGGGTCAGGGTTAGGCACCATTGGTGACTTCTCTTTCGAGCAGCTACATGACCTAAGTGAGCAAAGCAGACATAGCATATACGTGCTCACTTTTACGTTAGAGCCTTCCTTGCATGAGTCGAGGCAGGCAGTGAGGGTACGCTATGTTTTCAAATGACAATTATCTAAAGGAGATTTTTGCCTGGCTCTGAGTTAGGGAATGAATAAAAAAGGTTAATTTTTAAGTGTTTTAAGTTTATCACTATGTTTCTTACAGCTAAATCTTTTAGTGAAATAATGATACTGAATTGAATTCCAGTGCAAATAATAATGAATAATTACATAGTTTTAAGTGCTAGTAGATTATGCTCTCAATTAAGACGAGTTTTTAGAGTCAATAAATTGCAATGAAAACTTAGGTGAAATCGTTCGGTTGCAGTTTACTGGGATACACTGGGTGCGCACAGTTTGAATCCTGGTCTTAAGAAATAATCGGTCTCGAGGGGAGAGGATAGTTGTGCCAATTTTGGCTGGACATTTGCCAGTAACCTTTCAGAACCCCGATCTCATTAATCCGGTTGCCAATTATAGACCCCATCTAAGTCATTTTTGGGCAAATGTGATTTTCGCGACTCCAACTTAGTCACTTTCTGCCACTTTTTAAGCTGCGAATCTTCTCATTTTAAAATCCCTACTTTGCAGAAGTTCTCAACCTAGCGTGAACTCTATTGAAAATGCAACTCCATTATAAAACTTTATCTATGCCCCGTGGATTTCGTCTTCACTTTGAATGGAGTAATTAAAAAAAAGCTAGGTTGTAAGAGGCAAGTGATTTTTTCCACGGTCGACTGTTTTTTCGCCACTTTCTGGCTCCCTTTCCTTTTCCCATGTCAACCCTTTCGCAGTTATCTCCCTCTTCCCCTCCCCTATCCGTCTCCTCTTTGCAGTCTAAGTCACAGTGGAGTCAGTAGATCGCGGAGAGAACGCGTGAGGGGCGAACAGCGCAGCCGCAAGAAACGAGGGCGGAAGCTCGAGCGAAGAAAAAATAAGAGACTGCTATGGGATCTTTGATTTGGAGATTTGCCGCTTTTCATGCCCCCGGGGTGTTTACGTGACACCAGGTCAGCTTTTGCCCCGGCGCGAGTTCACTCCGCTTCCCTCTCGAGGCTCATGGCTCCAAGACAAACTTAAAGCAAGGGGCACACATACACCAACCCACGGCCTGGCCAGTACCTCACGCATGCGAACAGCCATATCACCCGGGCAGTGGCAGCCACGGACAGCTGTTTCGCCCTTGTTGGGGCTCATCAGCATGGCAAAGCCGCCCGCTCAATGAACGGGGAAACTACCCGTGTATCAAAGACCCTTTACTGCAGAGGCGAGTGATTTTCTCTGTTCATTGACTGGGCGGCTATGCCATGCTGATGAGTCCCAATAAGGGCGAAACAGCTGTCCTTTGCTGCCACTGCCCGGGTGATATGGCTGTGCGCGTGCGTGAGGTACTGGCCAGGCCGTGGGTTGGTGTATGTGTGCCTCGATTCAATATAATAATTGAATGTTGATTCAATAACTGTTTTCTCAAAAACTAAACTTTCCACAAGTCGACCTCAGAATTTTTTTTTTCTTCTTTTTTTCTAAGGGTGCGTTCACACTTGGTTTCCCCGGGCACTGGTGCCCGAGTACGATACTCGCTGGACACTAATGTGAAAACACCCTTTTTTCAAGTACCCGCGCTAGAATTCGGGTGCGGTGCCGATGCCGCGAGACCTTGTACTCGGGCACTAAAGTGGGCACCGGGTTCCCATGTGCACGTGTTTTCCGTTGGTTCCGAAGAGTTTTACCCACAATCAACTTCTTCGCATACCCATAACTCCGTCATAACTGGCGTCTGCTCAGTGCTGACGGAGCAAAGTGGACGAAAGATAATTTGGGTGCCCAGAGTGTGTACAAAGCACCATTTTGTTCCCGTGCCCGGGCGCTAGTGCACTAGAGTCGAGTGCGCGCGAGTTCTGAAGTTCAAAACCAAACAAACTGTTACATGTACGCTTTTTTGCTGCCAGTAATCAGTGCAACAGACCTGACCTCTTAGAAAACAAGATGGTGAAACTGATGTCAGTGTTTGTGCGGTGATTGGTGGATTTCGATCCTCGGAATGCGTGTAACTTAGTGAAAACCGTTTTTCGATGGCATGGGAAAATGAAATTCAAGTTCCATTTCCATTTTTCGTTTTCGCATGACATTGAAAAACAGATTTAAATTTCGCTTTTGTTTTTCGTTTTCGCCTAACTTCGAAAAACGGATTTGAACTTCGTCTTTCATTTTTCGTTTTCGCATCACTTTAAAAAACGGATTTGAATTTCGTTTCTCGTTTTCGCATTACTTTGACAAACGGATTTGAATTTCGTTTTTCGTTTTTGTACGGCTTGTTATTGAAAAACAGATCTGAATTTTGTTTGTCATTTTTGCATGTCTTAAAAGCGGATTACTGCAGTTAGTTTGTGTAAAACTTCGTTGGTTGTTGTTGAACGGATTCGATATTCCTAAAACCTCATGTTTGGGTTCTTAGCGAGTTCAAAAGAACACTAATTTTCACCTTCTTCTCACTTGATCAATACTCTTGTTTGATCGCAGCTCTCATTATGCGCTCTTGTCGTCTCTAATTATCCTCGTTCAGCGTTCCCGTTAGCAACCGTTCGTTCTCGAGTCTCATATTCACCCCCAGATTACCAATGAATGCATATTCCAAGACAAAAAAATTGCCAGGCACTTTTTATTGGGAAAATTCAGGTAACTTTAGAGGTCCTCACGACAAATGAATGAAACACACGGATATTGACTTATTAGTTAATTGTACTTGTACTAAAGCCAGTTGATAATAGAGACCTTTAGATTGTAAGACGAGGACAACTACGAGTTCTAAGTTGTGCGCACGCTTGAAGCTGTGTCATTTGAGAGGGAATACCTGATAATCGTCGTCATTGCATTCTACAGTGGGTTTTAGCTAGAATGTCATACACATTGGCGGAAGCAAGTTTTCGAATGTTAGAAGTTTTATCATTCAGTTCGATCGGGAGAGGGCTTAACCTCCTTCAATAAAAGTAATCGTGCTAAGGTTTCTGATGGAAAGAAAGTGAGCAATGAAGCTTTCCGAGGTTTTTTTAGTTCTTGAGAATACGCGAAATCTTTTTATAGGGTAAATCTCCGCCATGTAGTCGTCCTCGTCCTCCAATCTAAAGTCTCTAATGTAATAAGCTTGTTAACGTCGCGCATCCAGAAACCAAGAGTCCTCGTTATCATTTAAGTATTTACAATATCTATAACACTAAAGAACAGTGTGTTTTCCTTATCTACAAATACTCTTTGGTCTATTAATTAAGTTATATATGGCCGCAGTTCCTTATATTCCTCATTAAGACACAATGATTGTTTTAAAACGTCTATCTAAGTCCTTGCCACTAAGGAATTGTGATTTTTTTTTCTTTTCAGGAAAACCGTCAAGACACGTTATATAAAGGGGTATAGCTGAGAGAAACACGGAGACTTTGTTAGAGACTCTGGCTGTAGATTTGCTGAATTGAGTCGGTTGGTTTGTCCTCAGGAATCGATGGATGGCAAGAAGTAAAAATGTACATTAAGTCGGTTATTTAAAACGCAAAATGGATTGATCGTTACCCTGTTTTAACCTCTTTTTTTATTGGCGCATAACAGAGGGCGGCTGCCTCGGATATGTTCCCTAGTTTTTCCCATTTGTGCAAGGAAACAGGATACACCTCCCCTGGTGGGATTCTTATACCACTATCAACTGGAAATTTATTGATGATGAAATAAACCCTCCCATCTAATTCCACTGCACCAAGGTTGTTTTCTGGAATATGTTTTTGGTCAACAACCGACCACTTGTTGTTTTCTTCATCATACACTTCCACTGGTGCTGGGTTACCACACAGTAAACCGCTGGGAATAATATCAACCATACCCCCTGCTACATAAAGTTTATTGTTCACTATAAGAAGATTGGACCCAAAATGAGGGTGGCAGGTGGAAGCTTTTTTTTCCCATGCATTTCTCGCCGGATCAAAACAATGTAGGGAGGCATTTTGCACAAACCAACCTTTTTTATAACATTTTTTCCCATAAAGAACAAACACGTTAGAATGAAGTACTGTTGCTCCACTATTGTAAACGTACATCCCCTCCGTACCCTTGACGTTTGATGCAAAACTCTGCCATTGATCCTCAGCCAAGCTATACCGCTGAGGAGGCTTTTGACAATCAGAACCAAATGTATACATGTAATCTCCTACAGTACACATGTTGCTGATTGCTCCAACAGAGTACGGGTGTTTTTTCCACACCTTTCTTTTCAAGTCATAGCAAGAAATAAAATCAGTGTCAGGGTAATGGAGGCGACCTCCTGCAACATACAAACTATTACCAACAGTCTGTGCACAGTAATGTGATATTCCTTTAGGTTCCGTTCTTTCTCCTGACATTCCCAGTGGCTTCCAGATTTTGAGTTCAAAATTAAAGTAGTCAATGCGAGGTCCAGGAGAAACAGCAACAAGGAGCTGAAGAAAAAATTAAAGATCCGTTAGTTGGGTCTCCCGCAGCCTCCAACCGAGCTTACGTTCCTTTCGGACATCCAACCCAGCGTTAGAAAGAACATAATGAGATGGACGAGCCAGAAGAACAACAATGGTGTGGGTTTCTTTACGGCTGCCGCAACATTTGTTGCTTGTTAATTTGTCGTTTTGAGATGGCCACTTGTAGGTCAAGACGAGTCAACAAGCACACTAACAAGCACACCGACAATTGCTGTTGAAGAGGAAGGGGGCACAACTCCCTTTTTCCTAGCCCAGATTTTGCCTAGATTCAAGGGTCCCATCTCGACGTATGCCACAAATCCAAATCCTTGTGGTAAAGATACGTGGTCAAATCCTAGTACCGGTTATACTCAAATCCCATTTTTCTATTTTAAAAGCGGCAAATCCCAATTCCAATTCTCTTTACCATTTCAACGCCCTCTCTTCATCTTTAAGGTTATGTTCACACTATACCTGATAGCTTTTCGTGCCGTCACTAAAAGCTATACTGTATGCGACTTTCCCCTTTATACTGAGATCGGCGCGGCGCAGCTTCGCTCCGTTACAGAAATCGCGCCGAAATCACCGTTCTTATGCGTGAACAGAAACCCTATCCGGTATGGTTGCCGGCACAAAAGCTATCCGGTGTAGCATAAACATAGCCTAAATTTTTTCCTACAGTATATGCAAAACCCCTGGGGGCCCCGGAGAATATCGAACAAAAGAGGTTAGTCGGTTAGTGGTTATAACTACGACACAGATCCTGGCGATTTTTCCGCCATAAAAGAGTGCATATTCCGTCAATTAGGGTCACATTTTGGGCCATTTTTGCTATTTTTGAAGTGTTCAATTTTGAAAAAGTGCATATACCGGCTAATTCGAAAAAGTGCATATGCCGGCCATTTCATGAAAATAATCGCCAAAAACGTTGTCAAAGTGATAAATATTTGTCCTGAAATTTTCTTCTAAACATAAAAAGTGCATATACTGGCTAATAATCTTGCACCCATCACGGATGCATTATGATTATTACTAAAGAAGAAGTTTTGGCATGCTAATTCCAATCTATTGTTAGTTCTTGTATGCATTTTTGTTGTAAATACAAGGAAACCTGGCTGGGAAATTGGATATGTTGTATGATAGTTAACAATTATTCCACGAGGGCTCGTTGGATATGAGATGATAGATAGCCAACGAGGGTCGTAGCGCCGAGTTGGCTATAATCATCTCATATCCAACAAGCGCGAGTGGAATAATTGTTTTATTAAAAACGCCCAAAAAATCTCGCTAGAACAAACCGGAAAAGACAAGGGACTTCCGCTATTCACATGTCACACGTCTATCAAAACTGTCAACGTGCGAACGGACTCGCCTCGGACTGCATGAATGAAAAATCAAAACATTGTAGCGATAGAACACGATTCTAGGATTTTACTCAGAAGAACAGCTAAAAAAACCTGGCAGATAATGTGAAGGAAAAGAATTTTTAAGTGACAGCCGTAGAAATTACTGTGAATTTGGATTTTCGGTGCAGTTATAAAAGTAAGAACAACGAAGAAAAACTATTACCTCGGTCGCTTGTTATGAAGTTGTTTGAAGCCACAAGCTGGTTTTGCTGAACGAGAAAAGAAGCTATACTGCCGCCTCGATTGCTCTAGTCAATGGCTACATAGCCTGTATTTGTAGCTGGTTACTTGTGATTTATATTCTTGATGTCGGATAAACAAGCCGCAGTTATCTATCGGCGAGTGACTCGATCGGCGAATGGCTTCGCGATCATGAAGAAACAACACTTAATCTTCTTTCGTAGCTGGTCAAGGTTTTCTACAAACTTTCAAACAAGCTCTTGTGGCTTTTTTGTTTGTTTTTGTCTTTTTTCTTTAGATGAAATTGCATTTCTAGTAGCATAAATACTGATGGATTCTTCATGACTAATCCAAAACACACATATAAGAATAAATCTGATGTAAAATTCCAAGTTAATATATCAGTAAACCATTTATTACGAATTCAAAACCAGTCTACTTTGATAAACGATTTCGTGAAAAATTAGATTACAAAAGTTATTCTGACCATGTCAGTAAAACTGGCAAAATTTATTATGGTCAAGCTGGTTGTGGTAAAACACATCGAATTTGTGAGTTAATTTATGAGCATAAAGATAATTGTCTTGTATTCAGTCATACCAATAAAGCTGTCGTAAACATCAAAAATCGTTTGGAAACAAAAAAGGATAAAGATGAGGTCAATAAGATATGTCATACATTCGAGTCATTTTTTTTATGACGGAATTAAACAGGGGCACCCAACGAGGATATAGTTCAAAACCACTTAACATAGCATTGTCGAACGTATTTTAGTATTTAAATGGTAGATATAGGCATATTTTTATCCCCTAAAAACTTTCCATCTGTTCGGATTTCCTAGCTGAAAGCCTAGTGATCCGAAAATTATAGGGATCAAAACTTACCTTTTCGAAAATTTCAGCCAGGAAAAGGCTCCCGAAAATTCTAGGTGGCCTTTTTTAGGGTAAATATCCGTTTAAAATGGGTAATTATACCATTTTGTAGATGTTCGAAAATCCTAGGAGAGGCAGGCAAGCAAGAAATTTCACAACAAATGTTCCGAAAATTCTAGTTCTCAAATCGTCTTCCGAACAGATATTTTCCCGAAAATTGCCGTTGGGTGCCCCTGATTAAAGGTGTTGATGATTTGAAGGACAAAATAGTTTTCGTTGATGAGTATTCGATGACGCCAAATCGCTACATAACATTATTATACCAAGCATTCACCAAACACGATATTACAATAATCATGAGGGGCGATACAAATCAATGTGAACCAATAAATAGTACAAAATCAATAAGGCATAATTATATATTTTGACGACTCAATATCAGTTTCTGAAATGTGTCCTAAAAGGATTGAAATGAAATACATTGAAAAATCGGCACGATATGATAATGAGACAAGGGTAGTATTAAATAACTTTCTCAAATATAAAAATATACGTCATATATTTGAACCAATCGGTAATTATTACAAAAATATATGCTGGTTGAATGAAACACGATGTGCAGTGACAGAAGATTGTTGTAATACATTTGTTAAAGATAAAGAACATCATGAAATAAATTTCAAATATAAATCACGAATTGAAAAATATAAAGTATGTATTACGATACCAGTAATCGCAGCACAAAATATGAAAAAGAGACATATGTTTAATATGATGGAATTTAAAATTTAAAATATAAATGAGAATAATGAGGGTAATTTAGAATTTGTGATAAATGATGAGCTATTCAGTTTGAATGAATTTAGAGAATCATTTTTGCCCAATTTTTGCAATACAGTTTATAAATATCAAGGTGGCAAAATCGATGAGCATTACAATATTTTTGATACGCGCGCATAAGATGGATGTCAAAGAAATGTGTACAAGTTTATCAAGAACAACAAAACTGGAATATATTCATCTTGACAATAAAAAAATATGTAAACGATACCGAGAACGCGAAGAGGATAACATGATTATAATAAATTCATACTTCAATTCAGATTATCAAAATGGTAAAATATATGAGGTCACATTTGAATTGTATCCAAATTACTATGTAGGCTCAACAACACAATTATTAGAAGATCGATTACATGAGCATTGCAACAATCCAAAAAGTGCAATTTACAAATATCGTGATGATAAACCAAAAATAAGATTAATATGTAATTGTCCATGCAAAGATAAAAAGGGGCTTAAGAAAACAGCATATAGTTATATTGAGGAATACAAACAAAAATATGGCGAGTTACTAATAAACATTAAAGGTGTCAAGAAGGTTACACTGAAGATGTCACAATTCAAAGTAGCAATGGAAAATCAAAAACAGTTTACAAATGGAGAATAAGAGATGACACGATAAGATCCTATTTAGAAATAGATGCATCTGTTGATGGAAAAAGGATTAAATATAAAAGACGATATAACGAGAATAATAAACAAGAAGCATTCAAACAATTATCAAAGATCCAACAAAAATGCATACAAGAACTAAAAATAGATTGGAATTAGAATGCCAAAACTTCTTGTTTAGTAATAATCATAATGCATCCGTGCAAGATGATTAGCCAGTATATGCACTTTTTATGTTTGGAGGAGAATTTCAGGACAAATATTTATCACTTTGACAACGTTTTTGGCGATTATTTTCATGAAATGGCCGGCATATGCACTTTTTCGAATTAGCCGGTATATGCACTTTTTTCATTTTTCCATTTTGGTTTTACTGCCAACTCGTATAATCAAATGCCGAAAAGTACCGGATAAGTTGGAAAAATAGTTTACACTACAAAATATTGCGGATTTACAAAGTATCGGATTCACTTTGGATTTCGGATTTAAAACCTATCAAGACTTGACGAAATCGGCACCTTGTCAATTCAGATTCACGTGCTGCATCTGCTTAAAAACGACAAAACGAACCCAGTAACAAAATTATCCGGATTCCTGACGATAGAAGATTGACGTGCATCAGTCAGTGGACCCAAATATATATTTTATAAGTTGCTACAGTCATTTCACATGCAGAAAAACTCTTACTGTTTACAAAGTAGCCAAATCTTCAATCAAGGAAGGTTTTTTTTTTTTTGCGGGGGGGGGGCAAAGCCATTTGGAGAATTGTACGTACCTCTGAAAAACTCCTGGCTACACCCCTGCAATTGTGTTTGTTTTGACTCTGTTTTAATTTTGAAGGTGGCATTCTAGTGAAATAACTGACAAGCTATAATAAGTGGACAATGAAAGCTTCACATACTAGATTCGTGGAACGCATTTTGGATTTCTCCACAGCAAACGTCGAACTCACAGATGGCATGCAAAACTGTAGCAGTGATTCGTGCAAAAGTAAATGAATCCCTGGCACTCGTTGCATCTCCTCTGTGTTCAGTTCTCGGATGACCTCTTTGATATCCACCAGCACAAGTCGAACAGCTCCGATAACTTTAGCCGCGACTTCCATCCTCTCTTCCTTCTTGTGCTTGATCCACTGCATCACGGATTTGAAGACGAATGTCTCTGAAGGAGCACTGAGGTCATCTCTACTGAGAAGTTTCGCGAGCTGATCTGCGTCGAAATGAGACAAGAATTCTTCATTTTCACAGATCTCTTTATAAATTGAGGCCATCTTACATTGGGAAGCTTCCTGTAGGTCTTTCAGACCGTGTCGATCAGCAATTGTGCAAATTTGACAATACGTCTGCACGTCAAATCGAAGCTGAACGAACTGGGTTTGCAAGTAATCACAACACTGTTGAACAACACTTGTAACTTGGAGGTGATCGGCTGCGACAAGTACATCAAGTACGTTTTCATCGTTGACATGAAGATCGCCGCTGTAGATGGAATCCAACACGATCTTCAAGGCAGCTGCTGAAATGCTTTCATCTTTGAGCTCGATCACTTCCTGGTTCGACTCTTTCATTCCATGAGCAAACATGGCGTGGAAATAATCGCTACTGGCAGCGAGCACAATGCGATGAGCTGAGAAATCTTGTTCACCCACTTTTAAATGAACATCAATGAATTCACCTTGCTCTCGAAACTGCGCACACTTTGACAAAAGAATCTCAGAATGGACAACCATACTTAAAACAAGAAAGCGAGTCTGACTCTGAGCGTAGCGGGATTGCGTGATCGCGTGACCTTAAATCTTATTAATTACGTCATATAAAGCGCCACGAAAGTGCTGAATTCATGCACATGTAAATGCTGTCAGGTATGACTTTTTGAAAAAAGAATTTCGCTTTTCTTATCTGAGTTGATGGGAAAGATAAGCCTACGTAATGGCTAGTCGTTTCTATTGTCAACTGGTTAGTACCCTACATCCCCACATCCGCCACTCCAGATTGACGCCACACCGTTTCTTTTCTAGCATCTAACATCTTGATCTAGGTCAACTTGTTTTCTTTCTCAAGGTTGCAAATTATTTGTATCTTATGCTCCCAGGTACTTCGATAATACTACCATTATTTAGTTATCAAGGTTGGTTGAATATGAGTGAGTAAAAGAAATGTACAGTAGTATCCCGATTTCTCGAATACTCGGTTTTCGAAATTCCCGATAACTCGAACCAAACCGAACGTCCATTTACCACTCAAACACTGAAATCTTACCCCAGATTTTTCAAGCCTCCCGATAATTTGAACGTATCGTGTTTGCTTTTCCCCATGTGGTTCGAAAAATCGGAATTCCACTGGAGACCTTTTTTTCGTTTGTGATAAGTGTAAATAATGTCGCGAGAATAGGTTCAGTGCACTCAGTCATTAAAATACTTTAAACGTCTCTAGTCTGATGGGTATATTGGACCCCCGAACCCCTCCCCCTCCTCCCTGGATCCGCCACTAAGTGTCTAGCGCCTAAATACACGCAGATACTCGCAGACAAAATACACAACTACTGTCTAATGGGTTTCTTTATTTCCATGAGTTAAAATTACAGGAGTAGTTGATTGTTCGTGTTAACCAGGTGAAAACGTTGTCAAAGAGTCCCTCAAGTTCTTAATAGATTCAGGAGTCACTGAAGAGCTTGAAAAAATGTCTTGAAAAACAGTCTTCATACAGCTGAGAAAGGAGAGAGAGAGAGAAAAAAAGGGAACTGCTATAAAAATGTGCACATGTCCTAATAGGGGTTATAAAATTTATAACGCAATTCAAAGTTAACAGTAATAAACATTAGACTAAGATAAGGTAAATTAGAGGGTTTTTTAAAGAACTGAATTCAGTACATTTCTTTTTAAAAAATCGTTAAATAAGCACAAGCCAGACAGTTTTTACTAAACTACTCTTAGCTGTTCTGTTTCAGTATCGGTTTTAAAATTTTTATCTAACCTCAAATTATCCTATAGGTGTTTGACGAACCCTTTCAACGTCTGAAAGTCACTGATCATCGTGATACAAACACTTCTCATATTGAGATAAACCAGAGATAAGAAAAAATGTAAGGCTTGATACTGAATAGTCTCCCTCGCAACCGTTTTTTGGATGTCACGCAACGCTCCCCCAGCGTTGCGTGACATCCACAAAACGGCTGCTAGGGAAACTAGATACTGAAGTGAAGGAAAAGAGAAAGCTCCCAGAAGGAGATCCGAAACCACGTGACGGCGTGACATATGTTTAAGCAACCGCAACGGTAACAGCAAAGACAGCTTCAAAAAATCAGTAGGGAGCTCTTGCATCACACTTTCTGGTGCATTTCTTTGTAGTCACTACACGACTACGACAAGAAATTTGCTGAAGCGACTTTTACAGAGGACGGAAACACACGAAAAAGATTTTTTTCTATTTCTTAACAACTCACTAAGAGTCCAAGAAAATTGGCATGCCCTGAGAAAGTTACGCTAGTTAAAATAAATCGTAATGAAGTTACGTTTAAAACAACGAGATTAACTTTATAAGAGCTGTTTCACCGCCTTCGCCCTCATGGCACGTATATAAACTTCCTATCACATCTTTATCACTTGCTTCTATGAATGCGCAGGAAACCACTTATGGATATCGAAATTGGAAGTCATAAGATAAATAATAGGCTACCTACCGCCGATGCGTGATTTGATTTTCCAATTCGTGTGATTTTTTTGTGGCCGTGTTAAGGATTTCACTTGGAATTCCTGCCAGACGTGCCACATTTAACCCATAGCTTCTAGCAGCAGCGCCATTTACCACGTGATACAAGAAAGTGACTGAAGGTATAGACTCTTCCTCCCCTCCCTCAGGGCACTGTTGGTCACTCTGTTGCTCTTGTGACGTCATAAAGGCCATATGATTGTTGGTAACGTGCTTTGGAAAAGCTACTTCCAGCTCGGCCAGTGACGGATAGTGTGTTACAAATAGGGTCAGGCTGGACACCTATCGGCGAGAAAAAAATATTGACGAAATCGTTTTTGAATGCTTTAAAGCGTGTCCCCGTAAGAACCGACCAGTGATTTCGGCTCAAAAAATTAATTTTCTCATATTCCGGGATATTAAAGTTACAAAATTAATTAGTTACAAAAAGTTAATTAGTTACAAAAATGCATTTTGTTTGACCGAAAATGCGAAATATAATTTTTTACGAATTTTTGAATTTTTGGCTGGTTGGCACCGGCGCCATAGCCTTTGAAACTGCAAAAATCGCCCACATCGCCGGCGCTACAGAAAACAAACAACTCGTTCAAGAAGGCCCATTTTCTTTTTAATATACGGATACACCACTCTAGATGTCCTAGCCATATCACATTTCCGAATTATTTATTCATTTTAACGGCAAGAATATTTTTCCTGGCACGTGTTATCAGCCTTTCATCAAAACATGGAAATAGCTCAACTTTGAGGGCAGTTTAAAAAAGTGTGGCACCTGTCTGAACTTTGCTATCTGTATTAATACAAACGATAGTAAAACGTAAAAAGGAATGAAATTTTTGTGCTCTTTACGTTTTCGAACTTGAGCGCCGTTTGAATTTCCAGAAATTTTGAAGACCTGATAATTAACGACACTTGCCTTGTCGCTTTGCTCGTTAAAGTCCAACTTCACTTGATGGCTTGATGGATCTCACCTTAGCTCTTTTCCATTTTAAGGTTATTTCTTAATCATCTGAAACTATATTGGCCGTTGATTCCGTGTTTATACTTGTTTTGTTGCAATGTTATCTGGTTTGTAAAATGGTCGTATCCGCTGACGTGACTGGTTCGTGACACCCAACCTCGAGGTCTTTGCTAAAAATAGTTTTCTTTAAGATCGACTCCTCAAGAAATGGTAGTAAAATTTCTTGGCCAGTTAAAACTAATTTGTTCGCAAATGTGACGCGATAAGTCGCTAAGAAAGCGATTTAGCCCAGTTATGTATTTGAAAAACTGTATGCGTAGTTGTATGCGTGACTTTGTATTTCATACCTAGTCCTCGTCGACTGGACACGAAGCAGATAAGGGGTAGCAATTTCTTCAACAAAGTTTTTCTTCCCGGACTTGGGAAAATCTACTTGTAGAGATTTTCAAGCTTCGAAATATTCAGTATGGACGTTGCAAAAATGATAGAAAGATATAACGAACCACTTAAAATACGAACTGATATTCGTCAGGGCGGGTCCGTTCGTATGTGTGAGACATAATTGATCATTATTTGAGCTGCAACTGGCTCGAAACTGGCGCCCTTAAGGACGTGTCAATATCTTCTTCATTTAGGAGCAAGGAAAAACTAAAAAATGATCATGTAACATCACTCAATTTTTGGAAAGACAATTCCCACTCGGTCAGGTAGGCTTTCTCCTGCGCTACTTTGCGTTTGCACTAGCTTTTGAGGAACAAGGATTGGTACAGTTGGTTATTGCACCGCCTGCTATGGGAGAAGTCCCGAGGTCGACCTCCAATCCCTTTTTCGACTTCTTTCCTTTCCGTGTAGCTTTAAGTAGCTGTAAATACCGATAAAAAGGAGCATTAATGGGGGTTTAGAAGGGTGGGTGTGGGGCCCAGGTTTGGTACGAAGATAAAGTCTATTTCGAGGTACGGACTTAACTTTTACCTTCAGTTGAAAAAAAAAAAAAAAAAAAAGACTACTCATCAAGTCATAGTAAATGTCATAGTATTCTTAATGCTGAACAGGAGCCCATAACCTGTGCCGACTGAGTTGTCTAACAAACTGTAAATCCAATTGTACATAAAGAGAAGGTCGAGCGAAAAACCCTTGAACGTTTTCGTTAAACCTTGAAAACGAATTGTCCATGACGTGTTTGACTTTTCTGTTTATTTAGTAGCCTGCGCAGTTTTGGTCTATGGCGCGCAGTACAAGCTAAGGCGGGCGAGGGCTGTGAAACGCGAGGAGATTGGGGGAAGCAATGCTCGTTCGCGCGAGCTTCGCCCGAAGAAACCGCAATGCTACGCAGACAAAGAAGTTCTGGATTTTGCTTTATGTTAAATTTGCACGGAAGGTTTTTACAAACTATTTATTTTTTCTCAATCCAGATTTCTAGTATTCTTGAAAGTCAATTTAATGTTAATCGACATTTCGCTTTTAGTAGAGAAGATGCACGTGACTGAGGAAACAACGCGGAAATTTGGCAATTTTACTTAATAAAATCAATTTTTCTTAATTCAATTTTACTTAACTCTTTTTTTGCGAATATTGGGCATTGTGTATTCGAAAAGTATTTTTCGACACCTCGAATCCTACTAGGGAATCAGACTGTTTTAAGTTCAGTTATTTTGCTATCTGTCAATCAATCCGTTATAATCAGTGCACGTCGCGATTGTTTTGGTCCGAAAAAATACTTCTGTGCTATGAATCGACAATGTCGAAAAGTCATATTCATCATTGTCGTGATATATGCTATTTGCAGTACTTCGGTCAAGACACAAAAACAAAAATTTGGGGAAAATAAGCATTGGCTGGAGGAAATCACTCAGGATGCGAATATACAGAAGAACAAATGAAGAGACAATGTACTGCAGCATTTCAAAAAGCCTTATGTACACCATTGCTCAGAAACTACCCGTGGTATACCTGTCGCACTTGAATTAAGGTACAGTCACTGGTAGAAACCTTTTTAGTGGTGATCCGCATTAGCGCGGAAGTACATGTAATCACGGATGATACCGCTGGGGATTCTTGTTAGGG